TTCACCAAAACACTGGCCTCATCAGTTGTGTATTTATATATTTTTAGTGAAATATATTTTATAGTGTCAATCTCACAGTTTTTAAACAGTTTTAAAACTTTTTACAGTGTGTCGAAGGAATATCAAAGATGAGATGTCTTTAAATTCGTACTTTTTAGTAATTCCTTGTTAGCCACAGCAGAGGATATTGCTTGAGCAAACACTAAGTCTAATATATTTGGTCTTACAAGGCTGACTTGAAGTTGGCCAAATCAAATAAGCTTGAATTACTTATTTTTGGTAGTGGAATTCCAGTATGGGAAGTGGGATGTTGAGAATACTAAAATTGGACTTAAAAGTGAATTTAAGATCATCTTTTTTGACTGATTCAGTGAATGTGGAAGGAAAGCCAGATTAAAAAGCGAGATGGAGTCCGACTCAATTTCGATTTACTTTTGGTCTGCTTAGCTGTGAAGCTCACATCTTAGAAGACACGGAAACATGGTCAAAATATAAGCCAAATATCTCTAAATGGTGCTGAAAATTTATGGGTCCTTCTTTCATTATTCTATCTGTTCACCTAAGAACTTGTAAATTTTACTGACAGGGTGTTTATTTCTTGTATTAAAATATAATACTACTGATTTCAGTGAAAACATTTTACTCGTTAAAAGGCAAAAAGAGCTGAGGATGATTTTGTTGATTTTTTTTTGGAAAAATAATTTATTCAGTATTTCCTGTGAATAAAAAAAAATTTGCACCTGTTTGATATGAAGATTAACTTAAATTGCTGTTGACAGTTAGGCAATGAGAGAAAGAAGTAGTGTGTTGAATGGATTGTTGCTATTTTAACACGGCTGATTCTGTATTATCTAATGGTAGCTAATTGGAAAAATTTTGATTGGAACAGTTGTTCAAATTTGTTTGCAGAATCTGGTCCATTATTCAAAATATCTTTGCTGCTTCAAATTGGATCATGCCGAGTATTTATTTTATGCTAATACTGGGCTTTATTACCATAGCTTGAGGAATTGAAATTCGTTAGCCTCTAGCAGGTGAACAAATAAATTTGTGTTTGCTGAAGTGATTAGTGAGAGGACATCTCGATCATTTTGGCAATTAAAAGCTTCACAAATGCTGCCACTCTTAAGGTTCTAAAAGCTGTTAAGCCCCATATTGTTAATAAAAAAATACCTAGACTGCCTTTCATCCATCTGAATTTGATTTTCCAAAGTTATAATGTCTGCGTTCATTATCTTGTAAGGGTAAGATCTTAATGCAACGCAGAATATTGCATTCATAACATTATTATCAGATTTTCACTCTGGATTATAAAGCAGTGGCCGAACTTCTTAGTAATTACAACTCAAATGATTTTGTGGCCACAAAGAAGTGGAAATTTAATTGTAGTTGGCAAGACTGTGGTCTAAGAAAAATTTCGAGGTTCCCAAAGGTTCCTAACCATGAAATCCTGGGTGCCATTTATATGAAAAGAGTGAGTGTTTCCAGTCACCCAAAGGGAAAAGTTATTCGCCAGTGCACCTGGGTGCTTCTAGAGCACAGCCTTGGGTTGGTAGGTTTTGTATGCAACGCAGAATATTGGATTGATACTAATCATAATAGTCAGATTTTCATTAGATTATAAAGCAGTGGCCAAACTTCTCAGTAATTACAATTCAAATTATTTTGTGGCCACAAGGAAGTGGAAATTTAATTGTGGTGGGTAGGTTTTGTATTGCCACTATCCACTGTGTCCAACTGGCAGTGGAAATGCAAAACTTACTAAATGTAAGTTGAAGTTGTAGAACAATCAAATCACTTGATCTTTTTAAACGATTAATATTTTTAACGTAGCTCTAACAGTCTTGTTGCACTCGTCACTTACATGTAGATTCAATTGAATGCCAGTCGTTTTGGTGCAGTTTGTTTGTGCATATCTTTACCTCTGAGGGGTACAGTGTATATAAAAAGTCACAGTTTTGAGAGAAGAAAAGTGTTTTAAATGTTACTTACATGTAAGTCTTATCGGTCCATTTTCTGTTACTTCATTTACTAGCAGACTGTTTTAACCATCTAGGAGTCATTTTCGTTGAGATTCTAAATTGCATTGTACATGTAGGTTCTTGTCCCTGCCCCCTAGCATTTTGCAACATTGCCTTAACTTTCTGGCAGTCCCCATCTGTAAGAGTACAGATCTAGATGCAAGACAAGGACTCTGGCCAGGATCAAAATCCATACCTTTTGATCCAGGGTCCAATCTTCCTCATTGTGTCTCGCTTTCAGTTTATGGTTTTGAACTGGTGTTAGGTCTGTTTATCGAACCATTGATCGAATTCTTTTTTTTACTTTTTTTGTAAGTTTATGGACCAAGCTGCAGATGAGGTCTATAAACTTGTAAAAACAACTGCAGTGTTTCCAAATATGCAAGCTAATTCTGCAAAAAATATTATTGACCAGTCTTCTACTTCTCAAACTGTGATGATAAATTATTGCATCCTTATCATCCATTCTCAGTAAGCACTTGCACCTGTGTAAGTTGAGAATTTATTGCCATTTGTCACAGTTTCTTTCATTACTGCCCCCCCCAACATGAAGGGAAAAAGTTTTCTAATTAATGGAGCTGTGTTCTGGACAGTTCAGCCTGAAATATTTGGCTGAATTTTTTTTTCAAGTGTGTTGTTTATAATCTATCGTAATCTTCTTCAGTTATTTAGCATCCTTTTTATTTTTGGTTCATTATTATTTTATTGTGTTTTTGTCATGAGAAATGATGACTTAAAATATCATAATATAGCTGGATCCTTTAAGAACACACTGCTTTTTTTTGTGCTTGTTTTGAAAAAGTAATCTGCCATTTGAAATGTATTCTTGACAGTGCTGCATTCTAGAAGTGCCCGGGTGCTACAGGCAACACTACCTTTTGCCTTTGAGTGACTAGAGAAACTTACTTTTTTCATATACATGTAAGCTTAAGTGCTGGGTACCCAAGGTTTCATGGTTAGTAAGACCATAGCCTTGCCTGAGCAGTCCATCTTCACAATCTGTGTTCTGACGGCATTCAGGGAACCAATCAGAATTCTTCCTTTCACTGTCAATCTGGTTCCCTGAGTCTTTGTTCCTCTTGACCAGCGGTCAGAAAACAAGAGCTCTGGGAGCAACCATTTCAGGCATGTGCCATGGATGCACACTGCGCAGTGAAACTGGATGGGCAGAATTCGGTTATTTCAAAATGGTTGCTCCCAGAGCTCTTGTTTTCCGTCCACTGGTCAAGGGGAACAAAGACTCTGGGAACGAGATTGTTTCACTGTGGGCCAGTTGGCCATACAATGGGAATATTGGGTATTGTGGATTCTGAATGATGCAATGGTTCATTCTTATTTTTATGCAGGGGCGTCATTAATAAGCAAGGCTATCAGTGCCAAGGTATGTCACAAAGTACTTACAAATAATTATTACATGCTTCTGAAATCCAATGTTAAGTAAATTTTTTATTTTATTTTATTATTTGTATGATTAAGTTTAATAATGATCAGTCAGTTTGCTTGCATGTCTAAAAGCAAAATTGTCACATTAACCATGAATGTGCACTTGCTGAAAGGAGTGTTTAAAAAATGGTGAAATAATAAAGTGGCACTGTAAGGGTTAACCCTCACAATTTCTTAGAGCTAATCACTGTCGATTCAGGGATATTTAGGCTAACTGGAGTGCTTCTTATAGGCTACCATAAAATCCCACGTAAAAGCACCCTGGACTTATTTAAGTTCATAAGCGGTTTTGGGTGGGCTTTATATTGGGGTGGGGGGCATATAAGCGGAATAAGAAAAAAAATGGTTCGGAATGATGAGATGAAATGTATCTGAGAAATGAATTAAAACTAACACACAATTACATTTAGAGTTCCCTGTTGCCATATTACTCAATTGGCCTATAACTTTCAATTAAATATTATTTTGATCTTTGTAAAGAAATGCAAAAGGAATGCACTTTTACAATAGATGGGCTTATATTCGGGGGGGGGGCTTATAATGTGGGATTTTATGGGTTTTAGGATGTTTCTTTCCAAAACCAAGACCAGTGAAAGTTTGGGAGTACAAGATTGAAGAAACAATTGCCTTCAAAGATTGTTTAATTAAAAGAATGAAACAAAAACATTGGTAATTGACGTAACATATACTTATCAACTGAACAATGACTTTTACAGTCATAGAACTCAACCTATTAGGGGGAATGAAGGGGACATGTTTTTCATGCATGTTATTAGAGAAGAACCTCAAAATGGCAAAAGAGATGATCTTTGAGTATGCTACTGAGTTCATCAAGGCGCGTGTTAAAAACACAGAATGGCAAAATGGTACTACGGCTAGTTTTCTATGATTTCACCTTATTAACTGGAGCATGTCATTTTTTACCAGTCACAATGTGTCTCAAGTGGCATCTTTAACACTGCAACTTCTTAAATTAAGGCTGTCCAACAAATTTCTGTCGATTAATCCACCCTTGAAAGCCTTGGAAGTCACAGTAGAATTCCCACAAATTATCAGTCTGAGCGAGCTCGATACTACAGAAACAATGAAGTTGTGGCGATTGTTATTGTTTTGATATGCAAACGCTATGGGTCAGGGCCCAGTTGTTGGAATGCTGGATATCGCTATACCGTGAGATAAATCGCTATCTAGTGGATGAGTATTAACAAAACAAACCATGCTTTCCATTGGATAGTGATTTATCCAGTGGATAGCATTATCCGCCTTTCGTTTGCCAAAAATTTGCTTGCGTGACCTTGGCTGGAGTAGTTGCACTGCACTTTCAGTGATCATTAATTTTCATAAACAATTTCTTTTGTTTTAATGTTTGTAGTCTGTACTTGTGTTGTTCACAAGAGATGCCATAAGGATGTAGTCCATCAATGTCCCGGTGAAAAGCAAGACTCCCAGGATGTCATCTCAAATGAGGGAAAGGTATTAACAAGGATCTGTATATATATTTGATATGATTGTTATGAATTAATCGTGATTATGCTAGATATTTTTCATTGCATACAAACTTTACAAATCTTGATGATCTTATTTTGTTTAATTTCTGATATGTAGAGTTTTTCAACTTCTGTAATTTGGGTACCAAAGGAAAACATTTGTACATGGTTTAGGTCTTTCTTCACAGATGGTTTCAAAACCTTGTTGTTAATACTGGTTATCCAAGTTTTCACTGTTGCATGGTTAGAAACAGTAAATACAGTCATATGTTTGATTGATGATAATTGATTGTGGAAGAGTCATGTATACTTATGTCTGCTAGACTTTGAGCCAGGATTTTGAAAGTGGATGTCAAACATTTGCCCAAGTCAACAGTTTATGAAGCAATTAACATACGAGAAAAACTCACTTTATTACATAATTGGCAGTCACAGAAATATGCCTCAATGTCCATAGCTATCAGCCTGATGCCTGGAATATTATTATTAGTGATTTCACTGCAGCTTCCTCGCTTCCATCCAAAACCTTGAGTTCTTATTTTTGCATTATTCAAATCATCTTTAAATCTCAACCTTACATGGCATTGGTCTAAAACTTGTTTTGCTGGGTATGAAAAACATGCTCTCTCCAGTTCTGAAATTCATATAGGTGTAGTCAACTGTTGCAAAAAACCTATAATAATAAAATATGTTTATAAAATAAATGCCATTTACCATATGGCAAGCAATGTTTCAGCATCACTGATTTCTCCAGGGTACATTACTTACACAGTCACTTGCTAGCATTTCTTGAGTATGTCCGTGGACGCACTAACCTGTAGACCAGTATTAAGCTTACAAAAAGTCGTAGTCGTGACTCATATCACTTGCTGTCTGAGTGTGATGCTTAGAAATACATTGCACCTCTGCACATTGTTAGGAATCTCATTGCAAGCAGTACCCTTAAAGAGTTTTTTTGGGCGGTGGCCAGACAATGATATTAGTGTTTCAGACATTTGGAGTTCTAAAGCATGTATATTTGACTCTCAGTTTGTAGGAGGGAATCGTGTTGAACGACCAGCTGAGTAAACAATCAGTATGTCGATATTTCATCTTTCATGTGTTAACATCACCAAATTTAGATGAAATCAGAGCTTCCTTACTCAAGAGGCACTGCTGTCACAATCACTTGAATCCGTATTCAGAGTCATTATATTGCACCCTTTGAGATGATCAAGTTGTTTATGTCATTTACTACTTAATACCTAATTTTAGTCATGTACTGAACTTTATAGTGGCAAATATACAAAAACATGTGAGATAAATATTACATCAATAACCTCTCTATAAAGGGAAGGCTAAGTGCAAATGCTGCCCAACTTATGTGCTGATTGAGATGGTATGCTTTATTTTCTTGAATTTCTTTTATGAAAGTCAAGGTTTTTGTCCTATGTTGTGCAGAATTTTTAACATGCAACTAGTTGCCAAGACTTCTGATTTATGTCTGTAGTTCAACTCATGAAATGAATTATCTATGACTAAACTGGTGCTCCAAAGTTGTGCTGTGTTACCTGCTGAATGATGAAGCTTAAAATAAATATATTTTGCTCTACACCAAAGTTAATGGCTAGGAATAAGATTTAGTTCACTTGCTGTTCTTCTTCTATATTCGTTCATCAGTTGATGAGTACCTTGTTACATGAAATTTAGAGATAAATGATTTTCAACAATTTACCATTGTTGGATATAGAAGAAATTTTACCTCACAGTTTTAATAAATATGTATGAAAATTAATCTTTTATAAAGCAAGGCAGCTCACACAACGTCTAATCTCTACAACGTCACAGTCCTCATCTGCATGCAGTTTTCGTAATTACAGTTTTGTACTTTATTTGATGTACAATTGCCAAATTGTTCTAGACCCCCTGAGACAAGCTATTAAGTGTGTTGTACCTCAACTCATTAAGAATAGAAAAACAAACTTAGCTTATTAGTTACCTTTACTCTTAACTTGAATGTTTTACTTGGAATTTTCCTACTAATAGTCTCTACCATGGTTTCAAGACCCATTAAATCACAAAATTCCATGATGTGTTGTGGAATTATTATCAAATTATCCAAAATCACTGAATTAAGATGTCGAGACTGTCTTATATTAACTAAAGGTAGATAACGAAAGAACTAAGGTCTCTGTTTGTTACATCCATGATAAATGATCTGCTTATACATGCACGCAACTTGCCCACTACATGTGCCTACGTTGAAGGGTTCAAATTAGCAATTCTTTATGATGTTTCACTAGTCCAAACTGATGAGAATGAGCATGGAAAAGAAAATAGATTTTCTGTGATACTGCTAACCCAGCAGACCTGTCGTAATTGCCATGTTTATTTGCCAGCTAAAACATCCAAAACTGCTTCTCGGACATCTGGTCAGTGATCCATAATCTGCTAGTCTGGCCACAGACTTTTGGATAGGGCCATATTTGCATGTCAAGAATGACTGATTGTGTACCTTCAGAGAATGAATAATTAATAGCCTAAAGTCTTTGAAAAAAAGTAGATAAGGAGCCATAAGCTATTGGGTTTTCCAAAAGATGGATGCGAGGGTTACCACCTAGGCAACTCTTTCGTTGTTGATCCTGTAAATAGATATTGTTGTAGTTCATGTACATTGATGTCACAGGTATTTTCATTCTTATTCTCCTATACATACATATGTTTAATTCAACTCCCAATGTAGGTTTTTCAGTCACAATATTTAACTACAATGTTACATAAAATTACAGAAGAGTTACTATACACTAGAACCACAATACACTACGGCTAATATACACTAGAGCTTCATTTATATATTAACAGAGTGTTACCTCTCAGCTAGATAGTTTTGAACACATAAATAATAGATGTAAGTTCATTCACTCAGTCAATTGCTTTTTCTTTCAGAGTGCATTTGGACGGTCAAGCTCTGGATCTCTGCGTTTCAAAGTTGACATGCCTCACAGATTTGCAGTTCACAATTACAAGAGACCAACTTTCTGTGACCACTGTGGGTCACTCCTGTATGGTCTATTGAGACAGGGAATGCAATGTTCAGGTATGTTATCCCTTCACTTACAAATAGATTTTTTAAGCCTCTTGTGTTGTGAACTAGACACTGACAAGTAACGAGAAAAAGAGAAGGTTGTCTAGTATGCCATTATCTTAAATGAATAATCCCAATTTTATTTCTTGTGCAGTTTTCAAATGACATTTTTAAAATTCTTTTTTTTTGACCATCATGATAATTTGTTTAAATATGAGCTTGCGACAGGCACAGTAGCCACAAGCCTAATGGTTAGCTTGCTTGGCTCCGGAATGAGTGGTCTCGGTTTAAGTCCCGGCTAGGGTCATTGTGTTGTGCAAGGCACTTTACTCTAATGGTGCCTATCATCGACCAGGAGTATGAATGAGTACTGAGGAATTAACTGTTAAGTGGCAATCCTGCACAGGACTAGCATTCCATCCAGGGAAGGTGTAGAAATGCTCTCAGTGGCTTCAAGCCACTGAAAGGGGAGATGAGAGCTGGTCTGATGGACCACTGGGCTCGAATGCAGAGTACCTACCTTAGGGCATGCCCAGAAAGGGTGACATAAACTTACTAGTAACACTGCATTCTCTTCATCAGCTTGCAAACTGAATGTCCATAAAAGATGTCACAAGAATGTAGCAAATAACTGTGGTGTTAATTCCAAAGAGATGGCAGATGTCTTAAAAGGCATGGGACTTACAGGAAACAAACTATCAGAATCAATGAGAGTGAAAAAGGTCTGTATACTTGAATATGATGTGTTAGCTGTGGGTGGGTGGGTGGGGGGGATAATCTAAGCGTATTTTATGGCAAGTGCCATATGATAGTTTAGTGTTTGCGAAGTGGCCTCTTGTTTAGTGTACTCTCCTCTGGGTCGAGCGGTCTGGGTTCGAGCCTTGGCAGAGGACACTGTGTTGTGTTCTTGGGCAAGTCACTTTGCTCTCACAGTGCCCCCCCCCCCCCTCTCTCTCTCTCTCTCTCTCTGATGAACATGTGATGAACATGACTCGATACATTAAAGACAAACAAGATCTGCCATGTCTGCATGATAGAGATAAAGGAGTCTCTAGAGCGAAACTAGCTAAGGATTGGGTTTTGTTCGACTTGCCATGTCTAAATTTTTCCAGAGAGAGTCAGTAGGTTCGCGTGTGTTATGGATCACGCGAGGTTGATTTCAGTGATAAGCTAGTCTCGCTTCGTTTGTTTTCTTCAAAAGGTTGGTCTGCAAACAGATCTCTCGTAGGTAACCAATTTAATTCTGTCTTCAAGTATCGGGGCGGGATTTGTAAATTTACTCAAGGTGATGCGAGATCTTAAGTTTTGTAAACTTTAGATCAAAGTCACTGAAGAATCAACTTAATGAACTTTGCTACCAAATAGCTAATTCTCAACAAAGCGACTAGTTTGANGCAAACTTACCATGATATTTTGGAAATCCATTATTTATTAGTTTTGAAAACAGGGAAAAAAAAACCCCAGGGTGCTGTCACAATCTGTAGTAACGCATGACAATGTTTTACCAATCAGGCATCTTTCATAAAATAGCCATTGCCTTCAAATACCCATGTACCTTCTTTTACTTGACTTACTAAACTGTATCTCCATTTCACAGCCTTCAATCCAATACAATGGATCTAACACGATGATACCTTATGATCGCTCCTCATCACGGATGACGCTAATAAACGCACAGGAGAATGACAGTGACGATGTGAGCTCTCTTGATTCACTCTCCATAAAACCTGATGATCTGGAGGCTTCCCCAGGAGCCAGGAGACGGCAGAAAAAGTTTGGCTTGTCGGAATTTAAATTTATTAAAGTACTAGGAAAAGGCAGTTTTGGCAAGGTGATCTCTTCAAATTCTCTTTTCTTAATTTCAGACATGTTTTAATTTACCAAAGGAAAATTTGGTGCTAATTTAAGTGAAGATGCATGTTTGGTAGGGGCGGGTAGTATCCAATTATTTCAGTTTCAATGTTGACCTGTGATTAGGCGTTATATTTTCTATGCTGTGGGGGAATTGGAAGTTATGGACAGTTTGTTGGCCCATTTCAGACATTGTGATGATGCTCTTGAGAATTCTTGCTTGTTCTTTGCATTTTCGAGGTGTCTGTGAAGAGGATGTAGCTAAAGTTTTGAACGACAAGTAGAGTTGTACTAAAACAATTAGATTATTCACTCTCGATTTCTATGCGTGATAGTTGATGAGGGTGTCAACTATCACACGATAGAAATCTTAAGCTCCTAATCTAATTGTTAATTAGACAATTCTCATCACCGCAGGGTGGCAGAAAAATTTTTTTCAAAGGGAGTAATCTGTAAAGAGCAATAGCAAGGTGCAGATAAAGATGTGAGTTCACACCCAAAACAAATGAATATCCCCCCCCAAAACAAAAAATTTTTCTTCATTTGAAGCACGACAATGTAGATTTAGATTTAGTCCCACTACCCCCTAGCAGCTGCAATATTAATAACATGAGATTCATTACTGGACTCGGAAGGAAAAAGTGTGAAGAAAATTAAATCGCCAATTCCATGTACCCCCCTTGCTGATTGCACTTTCCCAGGGAATTATCCCCTCCCCCCTCTTGAAGTTCCTGCACACTTTCCCTGGGAATTACTCCCCTCCCCCTCTTGAAGTTCCTACACACTTTCCTTGGGAATTACTCCCCTCCCCCATCTTGAAGTTCCTGCAGACTTTCCCCGGCAATTACTCCCCTCCCCCTGTGGAAGTTCTTGCAGACTTTCCCAGGGAATTATCCCCTCCCCCCTCTTGAAGTTCCGGCACACTTTCCCTGGCAGTTACTCCCCTCCCCCTCTTGAAGTTGTTGCACGCTTTCCCAGGGAATTATCCCCTCCACCCTCTTGAAGTCCCTGCACACTTTCCCTGGGAATTACTCCCCTCCCCCTCTTGAAGTGCCTGCTAATCGACTTTGAACGTCTCTGTTGGAAAATAGATAAATGCAGTAATGCTCAAGAAGTCTCCTGGGTGCCTCTTGTCTTTTTAGTCTCATCACCTTGGAATTTCGATTCTGTCTTTTGCCAGGTCCTGTTAGCTGAAAGAAAAGACACAGATGAAATTTATGCCATAAAGATCTTGAAGAAGGAGACAGTTCTACAAGATGATGACGTAGAGTGCACGATGATTGAGAGACGAGTATTGGCTCTCTCAGCAGGTCACCCATATCTCACGGCGCTTCATTCCAGCTTCCAAACAGCGGTGGATAATTTTTTTTATTATATAGGGATGGGTGTTTTAGTTTACAAATAAAGAAGCCTAAGCCGTGTATTACACTGTGATAAAACATGACGGGCATTGGAGAACACGAGGGAAATGTAGAAAACACGAGCCGCCGGCGAGTGTTTTCTACATTTCTCAAGTGTTCTCAAATGTCCGAAGTGTTTTATCACAGTGTAATACACGGCTTAGGCTTCTTCATTTGCTTTATGATATAGAGGTAATGTGGCGAAAAGCAATAAAACTCGCTTTTTCTGTTTTATACTCTGATAAAACATGTGTTTTTGACCAATCAGAGCGCGCGCAGGGTCCTACAATGTATCTATATTATAATGGAAAATACACCACTCGTAAAATTTATACAAAATTACATCGGGAACTCAAGTGGCGTATTTTCCATATCCTCACTAGTAAAGATATCGTTGACTTCTTTGATCTCATGCTTGACCCTTAAACCGTACTTACATTTGTTGGCGTATGATCGAAATATCTTCGGATCTTTCTCGAAGTGTTCAGAAATTTTCAGAAAATGTTCGCAACGTTTGTGTGGCCTTTGTGTGGCCTTTGTGTGGCCTTGTGCAACTTTTGAAGATTCTTTGGAAATCATCGGAAAGTGGTCGGAAATCGTTACAAAATCGTCTCATCGTTAGGTTGTGTATTTTTTTTGGTGGGCAGTAGCTTGTACAAGAATTGTTTTAAAGTCAAACGGAGGACCTGGATAGTAGAAAGCACGTGCTCAATTTTTATCCCTTGTTTCCCCTTGTGCGAGTGTCTATTTTTTTTCCAGCCGTGTTTGCTGTGCAGGAACCTTTTTTTGGAAATTACCCAACCCACCCCCGTCAAAGAAAAATACTGGTCCGTCCCTACCAATGGGATGTATTGACTTGGCAGTTGACAGGATGTTTATTAATTATTAATTAATTAATTGATTATTATTTTTTTCAGGATCGACTGTTTCTTGTGATGGAGTATGTCAATGGAGGTGATTTGATGTTTCAAATTCAAAAAGCAAGAAAATTCGATGAAAGAAGATCTAGGTACGCAAGTTTTAACCAACAATATCAGTCTTGTTCATTATCTTTTCTGAATTACTTGATGTATTCTATTCTTGATGACGGAATTTTTGATCTCAATTCCTCATTTAGGTTTTACGCGTCAGAAGTTGTTTTGGCGCTTCAATACCTTCATAGGCATGGAGTTATATATAGGTAAGCAGCTGAAGTAAAACCCAAAATGTTTCCCGCCCTTAATTTTTCGTTGCGATTGGTTAATTTCGCAACATTGATTGACGGATTAGTTGCTTTGGCTTGAGTCACGTCCTCCTTAAGATGGATGACAGTGAGCGCTTGTTTGAATATTTCAACAGGGATTTAAAATTGGATAACGTGCTATTAGACAAAGATGGCCACATCAAGCTGGCTGATTTTGGAATGTGTAAGGAAGGAATGACTCCTGGTGGATATACAAACACGTTTTGTGGAACTCCGGACTACATTGCGCCTGAGGTGAGTTTCAAATCAGTTGCACTCCCCCCCCCCCCNGCCACTTCCCTGAGGAGGGCAACCTCCGGTACAGGGAAACAAGGGCCAGTCATTTTAGGCAAAGCCGAGGGGAACATTGAGGGTCGAGGGGAATAAGACTCACTGTTTCCCACGGGGCCAGTTACCTCCCAACTTAAAAATAGAACAAAAGGGGAAGCGAGCGATGTGACCCAAAAATTTTCTCGTTCCCCGCCCCCTACCCTGTCAATTCTCCCGTTTTGCAATGGTGTCCAGTTCTCTCGCAATTCTATCCGCGTGTTCAACGATCGAATCGAATAAAAATACGAGAAAATAGAGGCTGTGAACAATTTACGTCTGAGCTTCAGTCTCCTCTTGCGTATAAAAGGAAGATTTTACATAATCAATAGTATCTGGCTAATTTTATTCTTCTCAGATTCTTCAAGAAAAGCCTTATGGCTTCTCTGTTGACTGGTGGGCGCTGGGAGTTCTCATGTACGAGATGATGGCAGGACAGGTTAGCAAAAGATTCGTTTTAAGTTTCGCTTGTAATAGAGCGGTGTACATTCCTCCGTAGGTAAAAGAAATGGCGACTGGAGATGGCGACTGTTACATTTACCATTTACTCATAGAAACGTACGGAAAAGTTCTAACATCTTCAAACCTAGCGTACACTATGTCGTTTATGGACTGTGTGAAGTTCGCATGGTATTCTTGTAAAATGTACAGGTGCCATCTTTTTTTCCTACGGAGGATTGAGTGTCGATAAACTTAAGTAATTCCTCTAGCCAATCACAAAGGACACAGAGAATCCAATAAACCAATCGGCGTCTCGCAACGTCTTTTGAAAACTCGTAAGCTCAGTCGATTCACGAAGATCGGATTCCGACTGAGCAAGCGATTGGTCCATAGCCGTTTTCATTTGCTACCAAAAGTAACGACAGAGCAAATAAAACAATTGCTTTTGGACTGCCTTTGGAGAGTAGTTATACTTTTCCTTTGATTGTACTTTGGGTAGCTATGTCATTAATGGCGCGCGCATCTCAAGTCATGTTTGTTTTTTAAGGTCTGTGCAAATGCTGTGATTAGGTTTTCGTTTTACCTCGGAGCCAAGCATTTAACCAAGAAAAGAAAGGGCGGGTATATTACGAACTCACTAAGTGACCAGCTCCCAGTTGGCTTGATAACTCAGTTGGTAGAGCACTGCACCGGTATCGCAGAGGTCGTGGGTTGAAATCTCGTTCAGACCTGAATTTTTTCAGCTTGCTTAAGTTGTGTGTATAACTGCGATGATCAATCATATTTCAGTGCTTGCAATCTTGTTAAGATTTCATTGTACTTGTTACAGCCACCGTTCGAAGCTGATAACGAAGACGACCTTTTCGAGTCCATTCTTCACGATGATGTTCTGTATCCTGTGTGGCTTTCCAAAGAAGCTGTCTCAATACTAAAAGGGGTAAGAATCACGCGTTGCGTGACTACTCTGACGGTAGTCACGCAATATCAATAGACGTTATAACGTCCGACCTACCAGCAAAATGACTGCCATAGCAGGGGTAGCATTAAGGGCTGGGTACCGCAAAAATTGACCGGTTTTGAACAGAACTTTGCCCGGTTGCTACATCGATGTTTAACATAGTGCTGTTCCTGTCTTCTTTAGGAGACTGTCTAACAATCTTCCAAACAGTTGTCAAGCTTATTTTAGGTCAAAGAAACCACGATTTTGCTGGTTATAGTACGCGTTATTTCCCTTGTGTCTTCAAATTGTGGAGCAAATTCACCCATTGATGCATATTTGCGAAAACAAATGTTCTGCATGAGAGTCCACTCTTAGTTAAATGAGGCAAAACTACGAGCAAATCCATAGGTGATGATGAATTTGAATTGCAGGAAAACCCATCTCTACAAGAGTGGAATTTCAAATTTTCCGGGGGTGTATGCCACCGGACCCCCCTATCTTTGTAGATTTTCTGCCCGGATGTCATATCCTGATGCCCTCCTGTTTAAAAAACCCTCATTGAAACCCTTCACATAGTGGCAGGACGAGACCTAGCCGGGTGGTGACGGGTTGCTTTTGTAATCATCGACCGCTTAGAAATAGCTCAAGCCTTATAGATAGCGGACAGCCTGTCTGACGGAAACCGTGCACTCGATTACCTCTCGGATACCGAATTTCATGGTATCGCTCAGCTTGAGATTAAGTTATATTTAAACTTTTTGATGCAGTTATCATTTAGCACAGTCTGAATGTTTTTCACTTTGTTTGCTTACTTTGCAGTTTATGACGAAAAATAGCATGAAAAGGCTCGGCTGCACAGCCAGCGGGGAGCAAAGCATTCTGGAACATCCCTTCTTTAGAGAAATCGACTGGATCCAGTTAGAGGCGAGAGAAGTCGTGCCGCCCTTTAAACCAAAAATAGTGAGTAGAAATTGCCAGTAGCATTAACCTTTGACGCAAGAGTGAGATGAAAGGTGTTGCTAACAGCGACTCGTTTGAACGTTGTCTCTCGTGTTCATTAGTAAATAAACAATAGCTTCCATTTGGTGCAAAAATTTGCTCGGATATTTGTCCGCCGACGTTATCTGTTCCAAGAAAAAAAGCGAACTGTGAAGATCGATGAACAGATAATGTCCAAGGACAAATACTTGAGCAAATTTTTTAAAGCCAAATGGAGGCTGTTGTGTTTATTATCCTTCAAATATTTTTCGCGACACACGAATTGGGGAATATTACTCGGATATTCCTCAGTTTTAGCTGGGACATGTTCGGTCAAGCGCGGTTTGACCAGTCGCGTGCGAGCGAAAATATTTGATGGATTATAAGGCAATTTATACTCTAAGTCTGTCCGCGGACGTGTAATGTGCAGTCTAGTCATTTAACATTTTTTTTAACCAATTCCCGATCAAATTGTAATTCCTCGTTTCTAACTCATCCTACTGTAAAACTAAGTTCAGTCGCAAATCTCCGGAAACAAAGGAAGAAGAGAATAGCCACGCGCGGACATGTTTCCCTGAGGGCCGCGCGCGCTTACTGACGGCGCGCGCACTCTATTAACACGTGGCTTGAAAAGAATAGTTCAAGATTCTTGGGTTTTGCTTGTCGGCTTTGAGAAAAGCGGATGTGTCGACATTATTTTATTAGTGTGAGTTTGTTAAAGTTGATGTGCTTTATTGTTTTTCCCACGACACCCTCCAGGTGTCTCGTGTGCAAATCAAAAAACAGAAATTCTATCTTAAAGGATCTCAGTCGGGGTGTTTTGTCTTTTGCTTTGGCCACGTACAAAATCTCCTTTAAATGGAAGGAAACCTGAAAATAACAGTTAACTAAGATAGAAAAACATCAAAGAGATAATGATAAACCATAAAGGAACAAGGATGGTCAAGGATGGCGAATATTGACACGGATTGCAAACGACGAATTTGAAAAATTTAGGCTAAACTTTTCAAAATGTACAAACCGTGACTGAGCTCCTTTAACAAACTAAAGTACTTATGCAGTTATATAATGTTTTTCATGTGTCATCTTTGACCTCACCATGTTTCTGTATCTGCCCACAATCTTGGCTATCTTCTGTTTGTCCAGCATTTTCGCTCTCTTGAGGAGTAGTGTAACCCGTGTGATCTGTAGAAATGTTCATCAGTGAGTTCATTCCGTGATTGGTGTGATCAATCTCTTCAGAGAAGCTTGTGTACTCCGAAGCGTTCGCTTTGTACTGCTGGTTTTTCTTGCCCTCCGTGTCCACTACTCGTTCCATCTCCTGCTTTACTCTTCTCATGGCTTCCGTCGAAGAACGCGCGGATTTCAAAGCTTCGAAGCTCTGATCCAGAATTAGGCATCGATGGGAGGGGACGCCCTCGGGATCTTGCGGGTTGAGTGGAGTTCCGTCTAACGTGCTAAATCTCCTGTTATTCCCTTCATAGATGCTGAATCTTCTTTTCATTTTGATTGAACCTGATTTTGGCGCCGAGAACCTAGGCTGTTATTTAATTTAGCCTTTCGTCTTTCTACTGACGTATTCCAATTTTACGCGTGTGATTCTAACTAACTACTTTGGTTACGTTAATAAGGCGGTTATTACGTCACAGAATTTGCTCAGTTGATGTGAAAAAAAAAAGGTTGCGGAGACATTGTCAAATCATAAGTGAAAAACACAAGTACTCAGCTATTGGAAAACACCTGTGACGCCCACAATCAGAAGAACAAAGATCTTAACGAAAAATTTACCATCTTGAAGAAATGTCGCGGGAAATTTGAATGCTTAATCTGCGAAATGCTCTTCATCCAAGAAAAGAAACCTAAACTGAACACTCATTCTGACTCAATTAAAGCAAAACTATTTAGTACTTAATTAACACTCTCTACATTTCACATTGTAGAGTTTTTAACCACATGCAACGAGACTTTCACACGCATGCTCAATATATGAAGAACTCATCGGAACCTGACTTGAGAATTTGAAAATAATGAACGAGTCATCGAAACGTCATTCGAAATTATTATCGCTGATATTTATTCTCAATCGTTTGTCGAAAGCCTCCGTTATTAGGATATATGAAAAGATCAATATATTTGTACTGCGGAGAAAGATATGAAGACATGATTGATCATGGCAGTTATGCACACAATAAGTAATGGTGAAATTAAAGCCAGAAAATCGCAGTTATACACCGTTTAAGCAAATCAAATTCGCAACTCATTAATTTCTTGAATAAAAGTGTACTCTAATGGCGTAAGAGCCTTGCGGGCATGAATTGTGCATCATGTCCTTTCCAGAAATTGCTTCAGGTATAGTGCAGCAGTTAAGCCCTGACCAAACGGACTCGCAAGTAGTCGCAACTCGAACTTGCGTAGAGACTTGCGTTGGGTGGCCAAACGGACCCGAGAGATCCCTCACTAGTACATGCAAATCGCAAAAAAAAAAAAAACCATTTCAAGGCAGACATATCCTGTACGTCATTGGCTAATAATAGGTTAATGGGCGTCACTCAACTTGCGTTGACTTGAGTTGGGTGGCCAAACGGTGAAAACCATGCGCCGACTTGCGTGTGGGTGATTTTGGTACAGGTGATTTTTTTTTTTTTTTTTTTTNGAGAGGGTGTGTGCGGGTGATTGGTTATAGGCACGAATTTTTTTAACGTTTTCATGCAGTAAGAAATTTTCTTTTTGAGACGTGTATGTGCATGATATTTTTTTCTCCGTGTAACATGCTCTTTTCCGGCTCGATGAACGTGCGTGAATTTTTTTTCAGCAGTGGTCGTGTGCGTGAATTTTTTTTTGGTATAAGTTTGTTTGCAGGATAGTTTTTCAAAATCACCACCCCTCCCTCCAAAGTCAAATGGTCCGCCCCTTACACGGACTTTTGTGGGGCTTCGGGGAAGATTTGCGCGCTAACGAGGCGTTACTTTTCCAAAGCTTTCCCTTCATATATCGTCAGGTCTAGTCATCAATAATGCCCCAGACATGTTGACGGTTTCTAGTCCTAGTACCTGAAATCTCCCTTTCCCGCCCCACGTAAGGGTTACCTCTTCCCCCCGCCCCCCTCCCCACCCCAGTGTTTTTACATAGCACGGGGAATTGAGAGTTCAGGAAATGGACTAGACGGTTCCTCGCGAGTCATAATTGAAGAATGCTGTTTCCCGGTTAACGTGTGTTTTGTTTTGTTTTGGTCTTGATAGCGATCAAGAACAGACGTTGGAAATTTCGACACTGATTTCACAAGAGAAGAGCCGAAACTGACGCTGACGGACAAAAACATCATCGCAAATATTAACCAGGAGGAATTTAAGGACTTTTCTTTCGTCAACCCTCATTTCGTGAGCGATAGCCTTGTTTAATAGCAGCTTTAACTTTACATTGTACATAGATATGAACAGCAACAGATGAAGAAAATTTGAAATTTTATTCCAAAAATTAAACAAATTTTATCTTTTTAGAATGTGATCAAGCAACCGTGTATTTTTTAGATTGGGCGTGACTCTAACCAACGTTCCGGTTTCCCGGACAACCACATGACTTGTCACGCAACAAGTCTCCTGGAGGCGCATTGCGTGACAACGCACACTAGGGAACCAATAAATGGATATATATGTGAGAAGTACAGTAAAAATTGAAATGTTTGTCGTGTACTTAAAAAACGAAGTTAAACTTCAATCAAAGTAAATAGTTTTTGATTTTAATGTTAAATAAGGAAGAAAATTTCAGACCGCTTTGATTTGCGAATTCCTTTTTTATCGCAGCTTTGAATTACCCAGTCGATTTTGCCGTGGAAAGTCTAGTATATATATCCTGTGTAAAATGTTCTGTGGATTTTTAGAATATCAAGGTTTTAATTCTACTTAGCCAAGTCGATCCCGCAGACGAGACGTTTGAATTGGAATGTAACTTATTGTCAAATTCTCGCAACTGCAGTCATGAGAAATGCTGAACGATCAGCGAAGCGAGTTTTTTCTCTTGATGTCGAGGCTTCAACCTTTCTCACTGTTTTTAGTGATGTGGAATTTATTAGAAATTGTCTTTCTCCTAAAGCGCTCTGCTTCGCATAAAATGCCATTGTAGGGTGTAAAACTTCACTTCAGCATTATTCAAAAACCCTTACTAGTTGTCCTAGTTGACATCATTTTGTTGGGTTTTCCGCTGTCAATTGTTTTGGCAGAGATGTCAAGTGGATTGCGCGTGCCATCATTTGACCATTTGATTGGCGGAAACTTTTGGAAAACCCACTGAAAGCTGTCATAACGCCTCAGTCACTTTTAGATAATGGCGAACCACTCGTTTTTCTTTCGTTTGAAATAGCAACGTGTTTTGTTAAATAATATGACAAAGACTCGTGCAAAAAACGCATTTACCTGTCTGCAAAGGTGAGAAAATCAAATTTTCGAAAACGAACAACTCATGGGCTAACTCGGGCTTGTTTAGCGGGGATCGACTTGGAAATACTTCAGCTAGAGTTAAAAGACGACATTTTTATGTTATCTGGACAGGTTTTTATCACTGTCATATCAATTTAGGGTTATTTATTATACTTAATTCTAATTAATACTATGTTTACACGTAATGGTTTCGTTACTATGAACAATTTTAAACAAGATGCATTGTAATCGCGCGTTGGTTAAATTATCTTTACTGTGAATTTTAGAATACTCATTTAAACTGTGGATAAATTTCTTTATATCTAAATCTTTGTATTCCAGTTTTTTAGGTAAATGTAAGATTGATATAAATTTCATTATTACTAGCAAACTTGCCAGGCTTACGCGAGGCCAGTTAAGGGGGCATCGCACTTTAATTTAGCCCATTCTGTTAAATGCTAACCTTGTAAGGATGGAGAAGACAAAAGTACTGGAAAGTGAGAGTAGATTAGGCAGAAAAAAACTTTGAATCCAAACGAAAATATGACTCTTCAGCGCATTCTCACGATAATGCACTCTTGGTCCCAGAGCCTCTGCTTCTATTGGTCAGCGCCAGAGTGGCAAGTGAGGCATTGCGAACGTGATTAGTTTGAATAGTACTCGTAGTTTGAAATAAGAGTTTTGCAAACGGTGTGCTTATGATGCTTGTAGAATTATTTTAGTCAGTGTCAGTTTTCTTTCTTTCATTTTCCTAAGTAAAGTGAGTGAACAGGAAAACCTTTCTAATTGTTACAAGTTTGCTGTGAACAGGGAATCAATAGAAGCTTTCCATAGGAAGGCAATTTCGTTTTTGTTTTCTGCAAGCCAAGCTGTTTGTTTTAGTTTTCGAGCGATTTTCAATTGAGTGTAGTAAAACCAAAATCAAAACCAACTACTCAGCCAATCTCAAACCGTAGTTAAACTAACTTGACCAAAGTAATTGCCGGATTACTTTTAACACTCAACTGAAAACCGCTCCAACTCATCTTTTAAGTCATTCGTCGTGTTCTCAACTCACGTTAGTTGCTCTTGGCTCAAGATGCAGTAATAAAATACATCCAGAACATGCCTACTGGTTGTAAATGAACTTTTGAAACAATGATTTTCAGTTTGATCACGTTTACAATGAAGCACCTGTCTAACCCTGCCGACATTATCGAAGGTCTTGATACGAAAAATAGAACTACCAGTGAGAATATGGACATTGTCATCGCCTGCGTAACAAGCGTGCCGTATTTTCGGAAGAGAAGAAGGAACCATCCATAACACCCTCCCCCTTATCCCATTTTTTTGCCCTCGCCCCAATTTTCGCGCGGTCCAATTTGGAAAAACTCAAATTCGCGCGTGCAGCAACAATGTCCAGAGTTTTCCTGCTGGGATTTATGAATATTTTAATACTGATTGAGAAAACCTCTGTACACATACGTCTTGAGCCTTCATTCGGCGGTCTTGGTTAACCAGATCGAAACTGGAATGGGAAGTGGTTTTAGAGGGGGAGAAGGGGTGGAAAATTTCTCATGCTTCGCGCATTCTCTTGTTTGGTTAAATTTTCCATGTAGGACTGCCGTAAACAGCCGCTTATAAGCCCTCCCGCTTTTAAGCCCTCCAGCTATTAAGCCCTCCCGCTTATAAGCCCCTTCCGTTATAGACCCATCTACTTGTAAGCAAACTATTACTTCCGAATATAAGCCACCTCCCCTTCTTGATAAGACTCGCGCATGAATTTTTTTCTCTTGATTATAAAAATAACTAAGTTATCCTCCGATGGAGAAATTTCTTTCCGAGTTTCTCATTGTGTTGGTCTGTCTGGTGTATTCCCTCCAGCCCTCGTAGAGCGCAAACACTCGGGAGCCGTCGGGAAACGGTCGTGCCCTCATGGGAAGACCAGTTCACTCCTTGACAGTTACAGTGGTCGCATATCATTTCGTTTTCCGAAAGGTCTCTAGAATCGGTTTTTGTTTTTGCATTCTTAAAATGACCGGTTATTGTTGCGTTTTCAAATTCGTTTTCCGGCGTAGTGTGGACGGAAAACATTTTGCGCGTTTTCAGAGTGAAACTTCCGTTATCAAATTCCTCCGACGTACTGCGGACGGGGTTTTAGGTTTGAATCAGGGTTTGATTTGATTTCGCCCGCCTACTCTTTAGATCTTCCCCATTGATGTAGAGCTTGGCAGGCCTTTCGGCTAAGTTAAAGGGGCTAGATCACGCTATTTTAGGTAATTTTATTTAATCTTGTTAATTATGAGCTCTAAACGTCAAATTGGCAGAGCAAAAGTCTTTCATTTGCAAAATCACGGCCACATAACAACTGAGAATGATTTTGCAGCTGTGTAAATGAGATTTTGATATAAACTGATATAAATTTGAAAAAAGGTGGGCCGACGTTTTTCAAATTTACCCAAATGCAATCCATTTTAATCTTCTCCAGTTTTGTCCATCCATGTCCCTTCTTGGCTTTCCTATGTTTTCTTTGAGATCTTCTCTAGTTTTGAGTCGTTTTTGTGATATTTAAGTTAATTTTATGACCATTTGATCGGTGCTGAAATTGCCTAAAACTGCGTGACCTAGCCCCTTTAACTGAGGCCATACCGTAAACTTGGGTGGGGAGTCCGGTGTGAAAAGGTTGGGGAACGCCTCGTTGTCTCGCTTAGGGGTGTAAATCACGGAAAACATTAAAGAGCAATAACCAACTAATGGTCAGTACACGTGAGGGCTGTTCACGTGTAGAATAAAAATTGTAGTTTTGTATCTTCCTCCTGTTCAGTTGATAAATACAAGCATCACTTACTCCCGACTTGTCGTCGCCACAATATTAAAAAGATTTACATACATGAAAAAGCACAAAACCCCCGATCGAACTAAATGTTATCGCGAAACTCGCTGAGTTGGAAAATTGATAGCTTTGATTAACGTTAATCACTAAAGTTAAACCTTGGCTGTTTACCAAAAGGAAATGAATATGTCGTCTATCTTGCATGGCTGGCCCGGCTAATAGCTTTTGCTGAACTTTTAATTAATTGCATAGGTTTAACAAAGTGACTGATTGATAGACTGCCTCATTCATTGATTGATTGATTGTATTAGAGCGATTATAGCACAGAGAAATAAAAAACGCGCACACCAAAAGAGAATTTGTGCATAAAAACCACTCACACCTTAGTTAATAGAGGGAAATTATGAAACCTGGCTAAGTTCTGTATTGTATGGTATTGTTGGCTATTTTAGGGGTTGACAGTGCGCATAACCTGGCAACATACAAAAGGTGATTATGTCAATTTTGACCGGGACCTCAGTGAGAGCGCCTAAAAATATCTGTTTCTCGTTGAAAGGTTATCTCTCGTTTGAATTCTTCATCGGAGGGTAAGATTTTGCACGCAAAGTCTTGAGGTGCTTTCAACTAAGGCATAGAACACCCTAATAAAATATATACATGTATTTTATATCTTATTTTTTAATGTTCTCAGTTGTTCTTTGGCG